GGTTATTTATAAAAAAATATATAACCTAATATAATAATAATGATAATGAATAAGATGAATGTTTTTAAGAGTAATTTTTTGTTTTTTTTTAAACAACTAAGAGTAATGTGTTTTAATGTGTGTGTGTGTGTGTGGGGGGGGGGGGGGGTGGGGGTGGGGGGGGTATTTATAGAAAATAAACCAGAGTATAATAATAATAATAATAATAAATATATTTTTAGAGTAATTATTTATTTTTAACTTAGAGCGATGTGTTTTAGTGTGTCAAAACGTGTTTTTAATATGTCTACAGACCATTTACGAGCCTATGTCTACAAAAACAAGTATGCTGCTGTTTTTTTTAAACAGCTACATTGAATTTGAAATGTACTAGAATTTGTCACTAGAGGGCAGCACTAACCCTTTCAGACACAAACACATTCAAATACTTCAGATCAGAAACAAGGACTGATTCCCAATTCACACACTATCCATCCTAAAAAGAGAGCAAGATCAGGATTATTGGGTAATACAAGACAGTTATGTTCAGAATGGCATATTAACATACTGAATACTGTGCCGTATGTACTGTATACTGCCTACTATGTTTTTATATGTTAGTAGGCATTATTCCAACATCAATGTTTCAAAAAGTAGTCACATAATCTCATCATGTTGCATACAAGTGGTGGGTTATTTTGTATTTTGAATGTAATTCTGTGCAAAAATACCCCCCTAACCCTAACCTCAGACTTTCAACAGTCTGATCAAACGAGTCTAAAAAGAGATGTTTAAAACCATGACTAATATTACTTCCAGTTTTTTTTCTCACACTGGTAATGGAAAGTCAAGTCATGTGAATAGCATTGTGGTGAAGTAGTACCTAGTGCAGAGTTACTCCGTTACTGTATAATTGCCATTTTGGCAACTATAATAAATCATCTATGTATTCTAAGCACACAGCAAATGTGCATACTGTGTGTGCACAGTACATCATTCCACTCTTTGGAAAGAATAGCCTTTTCACGCACGCTTTTCAACGGCTCCATCACATTCACATACAACCCAATGGAGGATTTAGCTTTTAAGGGCGGTAAGCAAGAACACTTTGTGTCTCACAGGAAACGGATAACAGCGACAGCATGTCTAAGATTTAAAAGTGTGAACTCACAGGGCAGAGATTCCAGTTCTTTAGTGTCCTCGTCCTTCTCGTTGTCTTTGTTTTCGTCCTCGCTGTCCTTCCTGAAGTCATTTGGAGACTGCAGCTCTTGCTCCTCGGTGTGAGCGTTCTGCTCATCCACCACTACAGCAGAGAAACACAACCATCTTACTCATGCACTTCTGCACGTGGACACATACAATAAGGTAGGGCTGGGTAATATTACATACATAATCATGATTTTGCAGGAGGTATAACATTAAGCAACATTGTGAACATCACAAATTTTTGAATGTACTTTTTTTTAAGCTTCCCAAAAATCGTGTCACGACTGTTTTCACGATCCCTTCTTGTCTTGTGAACTGCTCCAGCTCTGAAACAACTCTTTTTGTGACTGATATCAAGAATTACTCTTATATCACTTCACACTGACTTTAAAACAGAAATGCAACTAGAATTGCTAAATTCAATTAATTTCCATGAATCACTTGTAACTGCCCTTCGCAATGTATCAATTCAAAACTCTGATTTGTGAGATTCATCACTAGGAAATAACCTTGGATGTTCCCATATTCCTTAATCTTTTAGTAAAAAATAAGTTCTGAAGTAAATATGGACTTTTTTATCACTCAGTATTTTTATATTTAATTAAAATACATGAAAATGGCCTAATATCACTTACCTGTGTTAATTTAGTGAAAACTAATTGAAGAATTTGGCAAACAAACCATATTTTTCACATAAAAGTGTGCTGCATCTCACACATTTTACAATCTTCTTTTATATGTCTTTTTTAATTATATACAGGTCCTTCTCAAAAAATTAGCATATTGTGATAAAGTTCATTATTTCCCATAATGTAACGATAAAAATTAAACTTTCATATATTTTAGATTCATTGCACACCAACTGAAATATTTCAGGTCTTTTATTGTTTTAATACTGATGATTTTGGCATACAGCTCATGAAAACCCCAAATTCCTGTCTCAAAAAATTAGCATATCATGAAAAGGGTCTCTAAACGAGCTATTAACCTAATCATCTGAATCAACTAATTAACTCTAAACACCTGCAACAGATTCCTGAGGCTTTTAAAAACTCCCAGCCTGTTTCATTACTCAAAACCGCAATCATGGGTAAGACTGCCGACCTGACTGCTGTCCAGAAGGCCATCATTGACACCCTCAAGCAAGAGGGTAAGACAGAAAGAAATTTCTGAACAAATAGGCTGTTCCCAGAGTGCTGTATCAAGGCACCTCAGTGGGAAGTCTGTGGGAAGAAAAAAGTGTGGCAAAAAACGCTGCACAACGAGAAGAGGTGACCGGACCCTGAGGAAGATTGTGGAGAAGGACCGATTCCAGACCTTGGGGGACCTGCGGAAGCAGTGGACTGAGTCTGGAGTAGAAACATCCAGAGCCACCGTGCACAGGCGTGTGCAGGAATTGGGCTACAGGTGCCGCATTCCCCAGGTCAAGCCACTTTTGAACCAGAAACAGTGGCAGAAGCGCCTGACCTGGGCTACAGAGAAGCAGCACTGGACTGTTGCTCAGTTTTGCATGTCATTCGGAAATCAAGGTGCCAGAGTCTGGAGGAAGACTGGGGAGAAGGAAATGCCAAAATGCCTGAAGTCCAGTGTCAAGTACCCACAGTCAGTGATGGTCTGGGGTGCCATGTCAGCTGCTGGTGTTGGTGCACTGTGTTTTATCAAGGGCAGGGTCAATGCAGCTAGCTATCAGGAGATTTTGGAGCACTTCATGCTTCCATCTGCTGAAAAGCTTTATGGAGATGAAGATTTCATTTTTCAGCACGACCTGGCACCTGCTCACAGTGCCAAAACCACTGGTAAATGGTTTACTGACCATGGTATTACTGTGCTCAATTGGCCTGCCAGCTCTCCTGACCTGAACCCCATAGAGAATCTGTGAGATATTGTGAAGAGAAAGTTGAGAGACGCAAGACCCAACACTCTGGATGAGCTTAAGGCCGCTATCGAGGCATCCTGGGCCTCCATAACACCTCAGCAGTGCCACAGGCTGATTGCCTCCATGCCACGCCGCATTGAAGCAGTCATTTCTGCAAAAGGATTCCCGACCAAGTATTGACTATTGAGTGCATAACTGAACATAATTATTTGAAGGTTGACTTTTTTTTTTTTGTATTAAAAACACTTCTTTTATTGGTCGGATGAAATATGCTAATTTTTTGAGACAGGAATTTTGGGTTTTCATGAGCTGTATGCCAAAATCATCAGTATTAAAACAATAAAAGACCTGAAATATTTCAGTTGGTGTGCAATGAATCTAAAATATATGAAAGTTTAATTTTTATCATTACATTATGGAAAATAATGAACTTTATCACAATATGCTAATTTTTTTAGAAGGACCTGTATATGGTAACACTACATTAAGGTTTCATTAGTTAACTAGATTTGTTAACATTAACTAATAATAAACTGCACTTTTACTCTAATAAACTTTTACTGTACTTTTACAGCATTTATTAATCTTTGTTAATGGTAATGTCAACATTTACTAATACATTATTAAAATCAAAAGTTGTATTTGTTAACATTAGTTAATGCACTGTGAAGTAACATGAACAAACAATGAACAACTGTATTTTTATTAACTAAGATAGTATACAAATACAGTAACAAATGTATTGCTCATGATTAGTTCATGTTTTTAAAATTGCTATTGCAATTGTATAATGACCATGTATAATTATTTCTCAGTCTCTTCTATAGGCTAATGCGACCTATAATGCATTTGGTGACCTCCCCTTAAACTTGAGCAATAGCAGGAACTTGGCTCTCTTAAACCTGAATTGAATGTAAAAGGACTGGGAGGCCAAGAAAACTTTCGAAATATTATTATTATTATTCTTTGAGAAACTGGAAGAAGTCCAGGAGGTCACACTAAATACAGATTTTTGCTTTACTTTTATTTATTTTTTACATTTTGTGTACATATTTCCTGTATTTTCTGTTTGTATCTTAATAAAGAGACCACACACAAAAAAATGGATGGCCATTAAAACATTGCTAAACCAACAACGCTGGAGCTGGCCTAAGACTTTTGCACACTACTGCATATAAATTCCCCAGCCCTAGAGACTGAGTATTACAGAGAATGCTAAAAACTATTGATTTATTGACACACATATTGATCCCCCATTTAAATGAACAGAAATCCCTGAAGATCAAGAAAAACACACAGGTCCCATTCTAAAACCTTTAAATGTAAATGTGGCTAATTCGTTTGAATATAATCAATTCGTGTCATGTGATTACTCGCCTTAGGAGACGCCTATATTCAGAGCCTACATTCTGTAAGCAACAGATCAAGTGTTGCTTTTCTATTCAAAAGACAAGCAGGACAATCATACTTCTCTCCGCCTGCTCGATGATCTGTCTGAGTGCTTTCTTCAGGCTGTTGGCTCTCAGTACAAGCTGCTCGCGGGGTCTGAAGAGCTTATGGGCAGAGCCCTTCTCGGTCTCATTCTCCTTCAGCTCCGTTATAGACTCTTCACTCAGATCTTCCTCTTCATCCAGCTCTTCCTCCTCCACCTCCTCCTCCACGATGGGTGGTGTGGTGAGGGCTGAGGGCGTCATGGCCTGGGCCTCCAAATTCAGCGTCTGCAGGAGCGAGTCCAGCTTCTCGTTCAGAATCGTACATTGCTGAAAGAGAACAAAGGGATAAATATGTTTATACTGCATTTTCATTGTATTTCTGTTGAGTAATGACTTAGAAAGCTGTCAGAGGTCATGATGTGAAACATCACAGACTCACTTTGAGGGCCAGAGCATCAGCTTCCACAGTGCTGTCACTGCTTCTCTCGTAACACTTCCCAACTTTGGCCACAAATTCCTTCACCGTCTCACACAATACCCTGGAGGAGAAGAGAGAAGATGAGAGGAACTCTGCCTTTGTAGTAGCTTGTGTTTGTTCTGTTAGTAGTGGAATAGGAACCAGAGTGGAACTATATGTAATAGTATGGTGTGAGACTGACGACTCACTTTGATGAAGATATGACCACTGAGTGCTGATCTGAGTTCAGGATCTTTGTGAGATGAGCAGCCACTGAATCCTCATAAGCAGATATCTGTAACTAAAGCCACCTATACTCATCACACATCATATTCATATTCATAAATTGCAATAGCTGGGCGAGAGAGAGAAAAGTAACATTTCCGGAGAAATGAAAACTGTATGATAAAAAATATTTTTTAGCATTTTAATGTTTTTTTTTTTTTTTTTATGATTATTATATGAAAAATCTGTCAATAATCAGCAAGCCCAGAGAGTATCTACAGAATATTTTCTCATTTTCTGTACTGATTTTGAGGGGACAATCTGAGCAATTAAGGTGCGGTCCAATCAGAATTATTTTATTTTTTTTGTGGGCAAAAAAAAAAGGTGCAGCGATATATGAAACACCACTCACACAGAAGTTACTTTCAAATCAAACAGCTTTCTATTGGTCAACACTTATACTTAAGTGTATACTTAAGATATACTTCAGTATATTTGCTTGTACTAAAATGGAACTATTGCAAGTATACTTTAGGTGCACTTTAAATATCTTGCATAGACTGATATTATACAGAAATCATAATATCCTTACTAATAGTGATATTAAAACACATTTTAGGCTTAATATTAAGAAATGTAGATTGTGCAATAAAGAAGTAATATTCCAAATAAAGTTGAATTATAATATTTATATCAGTAAGTCTCAAGCGATATGTCAGTAAATTTGTTAATAGATTTGTAGTGTACTAAATACAGTATGAAATATGTGTATTTAAATCTATTTTGGTATAGGTTTTTTTTCATTAGGGCAGCGTGGGGAAATCTTTTGCCCTCGTGAAATTCCTGATCACTTGGACTCCAATGGTAATGACAGGATTTTGCCCGCGAAAATTTGCAGAACATCTGTAAATCTGACCGAATTAAATTATGCTGAATGGATTTTACACATAGTAAAAATTTGTTGCTGGTAGCTAAAAACGCATAATCAAATTAGCCAAAATATTTCATAAATGAGCATTCAAGGGATGCAGTAATTCTAAAAAAAATTGAATCTGGCGCTCCAATTCTGCTGAGATTATTAAATCTGAGAAACGTATTAAATCTCACAAATCTCAATTACAAATATTAGTAACAGTCTCTTAATTTTGATTAATAATAACGGCTTAAGGTTCAGTAAGTGATTTAGGTGTTAATTCGCTCCTACCAATTCAGTCGTTAAACCAATTCAAACAAATAACTTAAAAGTTTGAGACTGATTCGTGAGTCTTTTTAAAAAATAGAACCAGGTTATAAGAGCCATTTGTTTGCGAAGCAGACTGCAATGGATGTGCTGAATGTTTTCTTATGTTTACAGTGATTGTGATTGAAACACAACTGAAAGATGTGCTATCGTCTTTGTTATATTTTTGCGGCACCTAGTCTTAGATAAAGTGTAGCATGTGACACTGTGACATGTCAACAACCCATTTAATGGTGTTGAAGCAAATGTATGCATTGCAGTTAATGTGTTGCTAGTACCTGGCCATCCTCTGCCTCCTCAGGTGTGACGGGGCAGCTGTGTTTGGGAGGTATTTTAATCTCATACGTCATTATACTCCACCTGTGAACAGCAGCTGTAGATGTAGCCAACGACACAAATATTATACATGTGACATAGTTCTGGACACATGCTAGGGTGCGCTCTGTACCTGTCCAGCATCTTCGTGCTGGCTCTCTCCAGCTTCTCCAGTATCTGAGGGAGTTGCGTGTCATCATCGCACGACGGCCCCCAACCAAGCACCCGTGCCAGGTCATTCCCGGTGCCCAGCGGCAGAACGCCCAGCTGGCACTGCCAACATGAGACGGTTCATATCACTGAGCCAGTTCATTAAGAAATCCTCATAAACATCTGCTCAACACTCGTGTGCAAAGTCCTAACCTTACAGGGACAGCTTTACATGGTGTAGAAGAGTACTTTTTTTAATCACCTGTTTGTGAAGATTTAGTTTATCGATTTCAGACAGAACCCAACCAACGCTTCCATCTCCTCCACACACGAGGATTCGGAAATTGTCGAACTTTTGGAACAAGCGAAGGCTTTAAAAGAGAAAAGAGTGTTAAAATAGAGGTTTAAGTGAGAGAAGGTTTGGGTAGTTGACCTGAAATACATACATATTGGGTACTTGACGTCCTAAACCTATTTTAAACAGTGCTTTTATAATTCTTTTATAATCATGCCTGCGGTTATTTAAGACTACATGGAATATCTGTTCTTTTAAAAATTAATTCGTCCCACTGTAGGATCATTAAAATGAGCCAAAAGGTTAATAAAATGGATACAAATATAACACAAATGGTTATGGGACCTGAAAAATACACTGCATCATTTTAATATGAAATCTGGAAGTTGATTGTAAAAAAGTGCAAAAAGACTCATTATACGTCAACTATCCAAACACCAGCAAAACAAGCAAAAGCATTGATTTGCTTCTAAGACAATGATCAATAGTTCAATCTCCGCGACCTTTGGCATCCAAGTCTTACCCTAAATGAGGTCCACCGTTGACCAGGTCAAAGACCTGAGCGGGATTGAGCAGCTGTTTGAAACGACGCAGGAATTTTACCCCTTGGTTGTCTCCGCTTTTTGAGTTGACAAACACGAGGAGTGGACTAGCACATGATGGGGGACAGGTGGCCTTCCAGAAACCTGTCACAGGAAAAGAACGGAAAAGATTATAAACTTCTTAACTGTAATAGCTTTTATTTATATATGATTTATTTATTGAATTTTTCACAACACCAAAGACAAACAATCAATATAAAAAAATAATATAAGAACTAATAATATAAAAATATAAAAATAAAAAAAATAAAAATATAAAAACATTAATACAAAAACACCATCACAAAATCCCTCACAGTACTAACAGGTTTAGTATAGTATGTAATATATAACAGAGCTTTATGTCATAATACAGAAATAGGACAAGGTCAGCCTTAACTAGGTCCAGCAAGTAAAGTTGAGTAACCTCAAAACTTAGAAAATAATGTGTGCTGCTAACGATAATATCAGTTGAAAACTGAAAAACCACTGAAAGTGCAGGGTTGGGTGGTCAGTCAGTCAATTGAGACTCCGTCCAGTTGCAGAGATTTAACATGCTCAAAAAAGGGTAACCAAATTCTTGAAAATTTAATCATGGAACCACGAAGGCAGTGTTTAATTTTTTCCAATTTAACAAAAAATAAGGCATCTTTTATCCACCGAGTATGAGAAGGGACTCGAGGACCCTTCCAGTTCATCAAAATGCAACGTCTCGCTAGCAGCGTAAGAAAAGCTACCAACTCTGCGAAATGAGACGGCAATGAGTAATTAGGAGGTAAAACTCCAAACAAGCCGATTAGCGGAGAGGGATGGATATTGACTGAAGTAATAGCGGAAAGTGAGTCAAAAACCGACTCCCAGAAAAGAGATAAAGAGTTAGATTAGCCGGTTCTACATGACACTTGTCGCAGCTTGGATCAATGTCAGGGAACATACGGGCTAATTTACTTTTAGACCAATGTACCTTGTGGACCACTTTACACTGTAAAACCCCGTGGCGAGCACAAACAGATGACGTGTGAACACGTTTCAAAATCGAATGCCATGTATCTGTCTCTATCTCTATATTAAGATCCCTAGCCCAGGTAGTCCGCAGACTGTCAGAATCCAAAGAGCAACATGTGAAAAAGGTATTATAAATCGTAGAGATGGCCCCTTTTTGATAAGGATTGATATTTGATATGGTATCGACAATGGTGGAGGGAGGGATCAAGGGGAACCCCGGAAAATGCTTACGGACAAAGTCACGGACTTGCAAGTATCTGAAAAAGTGGAACCTTGGTAAGTCAAAAACTTGAGTCAATTGTTCAAAAGAAGCGAATGTTCCGTCAATGTAAAGATGTTTAATGGAAATGATCCCATGGTCCAACCAGGCCGCAAAAGCCTTATCAATGAGAGAGGGAGGAAAGAGGGGGTTAGAATGTACAGGGCATAGAAGAGGTGTTGACTGTAAAGTAAAATGCCGCCTGAGTTGACGCCAGATCTTAAGACAATTTTTAACTATAACATTACTGGAGAAGGTTAAAGGTGATAACGAGAGAGGAAGACACAAAAGAGACGTAAGCGAAGTGCTGCCACAAGCAGCCTCCTCGACCCTTAACCAGGGTGGAGGCTGACCGCTGGAACAGCACCAGATTAACATATTACGAACATTTGCAGCCCAGTAATAAAACAAGAAGTTAGGTAGTGCTAAACCCCCCAGCTCCTTAGTTTTTTGTAAAATGCCTTTCTGTATTCTTGGAGTTTTTCCATTCCAAATAAATTGAGAAATAGTGCAATCTAAAGAGTGAAAGAAACGTTTTGGAATAAAAACCGGTATGCATTGAAAAAGATACAGAAATTTAGGCAGTACATTCATTTTTATACAATTTATCCTACCCGCAAGAGAAAGAGGCAATAGAGACCAACGATGAAGATCTTTGGTCAATCGATCCAACAGAGGAGAGAAATTACAGTTAAACAGGTCAGAGTAGTTCTTAGTTACGCAGATGCCCAAATAGTTGAATTGATTTAATGATGTCTTAAATGGCAATTTTGAAAGAGGGTAAGCTATAGCTGCTGAATTTATAGGCAAGAGTTCACTCTTATGAAGATTCAGTTTATACCCCGAAACCTGCCCAAATACCTTCAGTAGATCTAAAACGTGGGGTATAGATCTGTCTGGCTCAGAGACGAAAAGTAAAAGGTCGTCAGCATATAAAGACAGTTTGTGCACAGCGCCCCCTCTTATAATGCCCATCATTTGACTAGATCTAAGGGCCACTGCCAATGGTTCAATAGCGATGGCGAACAATAAGGGGGAAAGGGGACAGCCCTGCCGAGTACCACGTCCAAGGGGAAAATAATCTGAGTAATCATTGTTTGTGCGGACACGGGCCAAAGGAGAAGCATAAAGAAGTTTGATCCAAGAGATAAATTTACAGCCAAATCCAAACTTTTTTAATGTATGGAACAAATAAGGCCACTCCACACGATCAAATGCCTTCTCTGCATCCATCGAAATAACCAACTCAGGGGTGGTAGAAGTTGAGGGAGAGTACAATATGTCAAATAGACGCCTGACATTGTGAAAAGAGTGCCTTCCCTTGACAAACCCTGTTTGGTCTGTAGAAATGATTGAAGGCAAAACAGCCTCTAGACGCCTTGCCAGCATTTTAGCTAATATTTTAACATCCGCACATAATAAAGAAATAGGGCGATAGTTACTACAGAGAAGGGGATCCTTGCCTTTCTTCAATAAAAGTGAAATGGTGGCCTGTCTTAAAGTAGGAGGGAGTATGCCGCATTGTAAAGATTCGTTAAACATATTTAGCAGTAGTGGGGAAAGTTTATCTGTAAATGCTTTAAAAAATTCAATAGGAAAACCATCAGGCCCCGGACATTTCCCATTCTGCATGGAGTGTAACGCATCTTTAATTTCATCTACCGTAAAAAGCTCATCCATCCTAGAAGATGTCTCAGGGTCAATGGAAGGAATGTTTAAGGGCCTAAGGAAACTATCCAACTGAGCCTCATCAGATGAACACTCAGAAGTGTATAACAAAGCATAAAAATTCCTGAATTGGTCATTAATAGTTTGAGGGTTAATAGTTGTGCCATTGACGGTATTAATTTTTAAGATATGTTGAGCCGAGGCAGATTGTCGAATTTGGTGAGCCAATATTTTGCCTGGCTTATCACCAGATTCATAATAGCTGTGACGAGACTTAAGTAATGCTTCTATTGCGCCGTCGGAAGCCAATATATCAAATTCAGACTTTTTAGTAAGCAATTCTTTTATAAGTTCGGGTTCAGGTGCATCCTCGCATCTGGACTGCAGGTCAGCCAATTCCCTAGAGATAGAGATACTCCTTTCAACAGTGTTTTTTTTCCGAAAGGCAGAGAAAGAAATGATCTCTCCACGTAAATAAGCTTTGCATGCCTCCCAAATTGTTGACGCTGACACGTCTGAATTAACATTAGTGGAAATGAAAAGATCAATGCGACCATCAATGTTTTTTATGAAATCCGGGTCAGTAAGAAGAAACGAGTTAAAACGCCATGGGGATCGCGTGAAGGACACACCAGGAAATGAGATATCAACTATGATAGTAGCGTGATCTGAAATAACTATAGGACTGTAGAAACAATTGTTAACAGAAGAGAGCAGCTTGTTGTCAATGAGAAAGAGGTCAATTCGAGTAAAAGTACCATGTACAGGAGAAAAAAAAAGAAAACTGCTTATCACTGGGATTGAAGAAGCGCCATACATCCGAGACAGCATACTGCTCCATAAACAGTTGAACAACTTTAGATGATTTAGATGGAGAGATGTGCTTAGTGGATGAGCGATCGAGTGATGGGTCCAGACAGCAATTAAAGTCTCCACCGAGAATAAGGTGACTAGACACTATATCATGTAATAGCTTTTACAAAATGTAGATACCCTGTTTTGGCCAAATGCTAAAGCAGCATTATTTTAAAGGAGGTAAAGAATGCACTGCAACAAACCAAGATGGCAGATGAAGCGAGCAAAAAAGTTGATTATAAATAAACATAAATCATTTATTATTGGAATAAAGTATTTTAAAAAATAGTTTAGTCTAATTAGACTATTTTACTCAGTGTTTATGTATGATATGTGTTGTAACACTTAAAGGTGCAGTAAGCAATTTCTGAAAAACGCTGTTGAAAATAGGGATGCACCGAATCCAGATTTGTGGGGTTCGGCCGAATACCGAATCCACTGGTTAAGATTCTGCCGAATCCGAAACCAAATACCGAATCCTACTCTCATCCTCAGTCCATTAACACAGTAAACACATTAATGAGGTAAACAAAGTGGATTTTTCATTTTATTTTATTACTGTAAATAATAAACACTACTTTTACTTTTATAACTGTAAAAAAAAGAAAAAGAATAAGCAACATTATGCATTTTAACAGCGGCGATGTTGTGTAGCCTATTTAGAGTCCTTGCCACCATGAGACAAATCGGCATTGCAAATTGAACATGTAGCTCGACTTGAATTGCCTTCTTTCACTGAAAGTACTGCCAAACAACACTTTTTCTGCTCACGAGTTCCATTTTCACTTTCTCACAGCCTACTGCATTCGAACGGTCCACCTACTGTAACGGGTGGAAATAAGGTGTGGCCCCTTTAAGAACTGCGCGCCGTATGTGTCGTGCGCCTCGAACACATGCCCATGTATGCGGGTTATTTCTGTTTGATGCTCATTTTTACCTTATTTTGTTAAGTAACGCTGTGGACGGTAGAACGTGTGACAGACAGTTACACAAGTTCGATTGTGGAATAAAGTGCGAGTTGTGAGATGCCAATCGCCTCCGTGAGTAAGTCTGGCCTCTGCAATAACTTTAGCTGTGAGCTATCCCTATTTTTCTTCCTGACACAACGCGTTACACTACAGGCTTGTTCGACTTGAACCGGCGCTGCACAGACAGATAAGTTTATGACATCAAAGTCCCGCGAGAGCAATTCAAAAGCATAAGGAGCCGTCTGCTCTCTATTCGTTCACGCGGTACTTTGATGTCATTCACTGATCGGTGACTTCGACGTAGCGCGCGTAGTGCAAGCCTAGGGTTCGGTTCGGTGGAAAAAAATTCT